AGAGAATCCAAAAAGTAGCAACAGCAGCAGCATGGAATAGCCTTAAAGAAAATGAAAAAGTTAGAATCCCACCTTTAATACTATATGAGGCATTATTTGGAAAAACAGAAGTAAAGGAAATTGCTAATAGAACAGCTTTAATAAAAGGGCTAACAATAAATAAAGTTGGAAAGCAGATCAGTCAAATTTTAAATAGCTAGGCAATACAAAAATGCATAGGTATAGTTACAAGAACAGTATAGAACACATTCTTCGACCAAGTATGGAGAGTTCAATGTGGGAAAGTACAAGAATAGAAAATGAAGCTAATATAACAAACAAAATGAAAAAAGGTGCTTGAATTAAAGGAGGATCAGAGAAAAAAGGAAAAAAGAATAAGACAACAAAGAAAAGAGAAAAGGAAAAGGAAATAAAAAAAATGAACCAAATAAAGGAAGAAGTTTTGAAGACAATCGATATGCTTGTTACAGAAAGGAGAAGACCTTTCTGGTATGGCTTTAAGTAGTTAAACGAGCAGTCTATCTTTAACTGAGATAGTGCGGCAGGTTGCACTTAGATACCAATAGGGTGGCCGAGTGATGCTAGACTTGAGTATTGGGAAATTCTATGTAATTATATGTATTTAGTTTCAAGAATCTTAATAAAGTACTAGCTAACTGCTTAAGGTTAAAAAAAAAAAAAAAAGATTTTAAAAAGTTTAGTACAAGGTCAAAGGTTTCTTATATAAATAAACTGTCTTAAAGTCTTAGTAGTCATGACATATCTTTATTAGCATTAGCTAGGGTTATTGATAAGCAGAAATAAGTGAATAAATATAAAAACTAAGTGTTTAAATAAAGAATTTACAAGTAGGTTTCAGGTATGACAGCTAGTATAGAACCTTTAGATGGATTACTTAAATTATACAATAACTAAAGTTGTATAAGTAGCTAGTTGTATACTCTTTCTATAGTTGCTTTTTGTAGTTGTTATGCAACTATTAGCCAAATATACTATTAATAAAATTTTAGTTTACAAGTATTTATTTTAATATTTAAAAAAAACAATACTAGAATATATTAAAAAAAATTCTTAATTGTATATTAAAAGCTTAAAAACAGATTTATCAAATTATCTAAATTAGTAGTTCAAAAAGTTTTAGTTTAAAATAAAAAGAAAATATTAAAAAAATAGATACTAAAGTTTTAATAAACTTTACAAAAATAGAAATAGAATAATAGTAGTAGTTTAATAAAATATCTGTAATTACAAATATTAATCTAACTATAAAGTATTATATAAAATTAGATTAGTTATATGTGAAATATAGAAGGCTCTAGTAAGTTTTTTGTTAAGAATAAAGTAGTTCTAAAAATAATAATAAATATTAAAATTTTAAATAAATTGTGCTTTAAAGATATTTTATAATACAAGTTAGATTGCATATACAAAAAGTTTAAATAAGTAAGCTTATAGACATAATATCTAGTATAAAACCTATATAGTAATATATAATCAAACTACTTAAATTAGACATCAAAAATGTATATATAATTAGTTGTAATATTTTATATAAAAAAACTCTTAAGGAGAATGATGATCCTAGTGTAATGGTGGGATTGTTATCCTCCAAGCTGTAGGTCCAATGTTCAATTCCCATCGGTGACAAATTTTGAAAAAATAGACCTATTTCAGCAAACTTATTCATGATCTGGGGTTTGTAGATCCTGTAATTCTGGTTATATCAAAACTAACTTTGGAAATGTATAATATCACACAAATAAATCCAAAAAGTATATACTTAGATTAAAAGCCTGCTTGGAAATCCCGAGTAAAGAGGTAGTACAACTTTCAATAGTGCTACTTATAAAGATCTTGATCTGCTGAAGAAAACCTGAGGCAGGTGACCTGTACAAACAAGAACCTCTAGGTAGAGGGTTCACCAACCTGGACACCAGTTAATTCAGGCATAAAGTTGCATCATGCAAGGCTAACTGGATTGGTAGTATAAAAGGACTTGCAAGAGTAGATGAGATAACGATGAGGTTGTAAAAGAAGAATACTGGGGTTGTATAAACTTCGCAAGTGTTGTAAACTAGGTTTAGCTGTAATTTGGGATACAGAAGGCTCTAGTAATAATATCTTGAGAATAATTTGCATGAAATAAGGCAGAGAATAGATAAGTATTTAAAACTTCTCGACTAACATCATGTGATGAAGATGTTCTAGTGATAACAGTAAGGATTGCAGTACAGAGGGTTTAAATAGGCAACATTCATAGTTGGGTTGCAGGCATAGCAGCTAGTATAGAACCTATATATAGGCAGACTACTTAAATTAGACACCAAAAGTGTACATATGGCTAGATGTATTCTCTAATGTAAGGTAGCTCCTTTGAGATAATTGGACTGTGAATTACTATGTCTTATAATATTGAATAAAAAAGTCTTAGTCTTCAAAAGACTAGTTTAAATAAAATAAAATTAAAAAAAAAAAACTCTTAATAGTTTTTATATTTATAATAATATAAATAAAAATTACTCTTTGAAAACAGAAACTTTAATACAAAAAATAAATAAATAAAATATTTATTTTTAATTTTTTTTATAAAAAATTATAAATTTTATTATAAAAAATCTTGTAAAAAAATTTATATTAGAGTATGACAATCTAGTAAAGTAGTCAGGTTGTCAACCTTTCAAGTAGTAGGTTGGGTGTTCAAATCTTATTAATAATAAAAATTTAGATAATTATCTATATAATATTTATATTTTCTAATAATTAAATTAGAATATTTATAATAATAATTGCATCTGCATGATTGGCAAGTTATAAAGTATTTGTATAATTATGGTATAGCATTATACAGAAAAATGCAAACTGACAATCAGGTAGTACAAATACTAGATAAATTCTTGTAGTTATATAAATCTGTTAAAATTAGATAACAAGAAGTTTATTTGAAAAAACCTGAATAGAAAGATAATCAGATCTTCAATAACCCTATTATAAAGGCTAGCTTGAGAAAACAGATACCAAGCTTGTAGTACTCAGATAGATAAGAACCCCCAGATTGGGAATTTTGAAGGTATTACTAACTAGGCTATCAGAATAAATCAGAAAAAAAAATATTAAGTTGAATTAATATACTAATAAACTAGTTATAATTCTATACAAACTATCTGAATTGAGAGTCTGGTAAAAAGGCAAAGGTATACTAAAATACTAATATTATGTTATAAAGTAGATACTGAGGTTTGAGTAACTCTATAAGAGCATAGTAGTTAAATAATATAATTCTAACTATAAGTATTAGTTTAATCATAATAATACTGATTTAGTTATAAAAATAGGTACAAAAGATTTTGAAAAATTTACCTTAAGGATAAAATAATCTTAAGATTAAAATGATGATTTGAGCATCTAAGTATAATCCAATAATATTAACACAGGTTGCAGGTTCAGAAGGTTTAAAATAAAACATCTAAGCAAAGATGTTAGATATAGCAATTGGTAAGAAACCTTTAAACAGACTTCTTAAATAAATAATATAAAAAAGTTATATATATAGTCAATTGTACACTCTTCTGTAATGGTTCATTAAATCACATTATCAAAAAAAAAGTTGTTAATATATAAAAGTCAAAAGACCAAAGAGGTTATCTTAATACCAAAAAAAAATTCTTGTATTTAATGATTTTAATGTTATTAAAATTACTTATAATTGCAAAATTTTAATATTTATAATTGTAAAAATTTAATATTTAAAAATAAAAAATAATTTTTTTTAAATAAAGACTAATGCATTATTATTTTTTTAATATTAAATTATTTTATTATTTTTTAAGCTTTACTTCTAATTAGTAATCTATAATTAAAGCAAAGTTTAGATAACAATTAATTTTTTATAATAAGAAATAATAAACTATTATTTTAAAATAATCTTCAGGTGTAAATTAAAATTTTGATCAAAATTAAACTTAAGTTAGGTCAAAAGTTTTCTTTATGTCTAGGTAATATTTTAAAATAATATAATAAAACAATTGTTATTATTGATGCTGATTTTAACTAATGTTAACATTTATGTAACATATATACAAAGTTTATTTATGTTAAGGTTGGTATTTAAATTAGGATTGGAGGTTAGATTAAGGTCAAAGGTCAGTGAGCTATATAATAAAATTACAAAGAAAACTTTTTTGCTAATGCATAAAAGGTTGCTTATATGCAATTTTTAATGGTTTCAAAATTAACGTTAATGTTTGTTTTGAATTTTTTAATCATGACTTAGTATTGGCCGATCATCACGTAAAAACCAGCATCAGCCATGACAACAATTAAACAAAACCCGTTTGCCAAATTAAGAGCTATAAACTAGTTTGACTTTATTCTTTTTTAATTTAAGTTTTGAACTGAAGTCCCAAGCAAAGACCGAACTAACTACTTAAAAACCTCAATAAACAGTCTGGAACCTTAGTTCTTTAACATCCTTAATATGATGTCAGAACTGGTTTTGGACCAGTTCTGCGCTAGTCCCTAAAAACTTCTGGTCCGAACTCATTCCCCGTGAACCACTTAACATCCCTAACTAAAATTTGGACCTTTATTTCTAACCATAATCTTGGTTTAAAATTTTATCCTAACCTAAATTTGATAAAAGAAATAAAAGGTAGTGGCATCACAACTGACGATAAATACTAAAATCGGTTAATTAAATCTTTTATTCCTTTAAAGGGTCTAAGAATCCATTGTTAATATAATTAACCGATTTTTCGTTCAGTCCGCATTTAAGCTTTATCTCTTCCGCTTCTTTTATTGCTTTAAACGTCGGTCCGTTAATTGGTAGGTTGTATAATCATCTTTCAGTATAAATATTTTGTCTGGAAAAATTTCTTGGGAGGTTTGGATGTATTCTTTTATGTTTTTCACTTGTTCTTCGTGTTCATTAATTTCTTTCTCGAGAAAATCGATATCTTGCTGAATCTTTTCACTCTCATTATCGAATTTTTCACAGTTGTTTTTATACTTTGAGAAAATATTATTCTGGGTTCTAGCATGCTTCTCAAGATTATTTTGACGAGTTACTTTATCATCCTTTATACTTTGCAAACATTTTAGATATACATCATCGAAAGCAGCCAAAGTATTACATATAAGAAATTCTGTAAATATCTTTTTAATATGTTTCACTTTTTCAAACTCTTCAATTCTGTATGATAAATTTTTTCAAGGTTATTCTTAGTTTTATGGTTCTCGATTTTACCTATTTTATTAATTTGTTCTTTAAGAAGGAACATGTTTTGTGCTATCAAAACAATGAGTATGGCAAGATTTGACACCATTACTCTAGCATTGTAAAGTGATCCAGAATCCCTCATATTGCAAGGGGTAAGTGACATAAGATATTTAAGTAGCCTCTGTGATTCATTGACAGACTTTTCCCAGCTAAATACAACGCTTATTTCTGTAAATTTATCGAATGTCATATCTTTCTTATGCTGCACTATGAATGATAATGATTTGTTATCAAAACAGTATATAGTATTATCATTAGTCTTAAGCTCGACTTTGAGATCATTTTTTATTAGCTTCTTCAGAAGTTCTAATGTGTTTCCTGGTTTAAAGTTTGATCCTTTAGTATGGGTAAAGCAGAATATAATATTGTCCTTGACGCTTTTATGAAGCTGTGATACCAATGCTTTTACGCAGTATTTGAACTCATCCTTCAGTCGTGTCTGGTTTGATTTAAATAACATGCATATTCCATTTATATATTGGAATTGATTAATATAGGCCAAAATATTTTCTAAATTTATCTTGTCTTGTTTAACTCCTCTAGTGTCTCCTATACCGGGTGTATCGATTAATCTTATGACTTTATCTCCAATACAGAACCTGTAGACTCTGCATCCTAGAGTTGATGAGTCTCCTTCAATTAGGGATTCGTTTTGGTCTTTTTCACCCACAGTTATATTATCATTTATTCCTACTTTAACCCTGAATGGGATTAATATTTCCAAGTCCCCGGATTTTGCCTCGTCTAAACTAGGAAATTTAAGATAGTTGGCGAACGCGTTTATAAATGTAGACTTTCCTATACCACTTTCACCAAGCAATAATATGTTTATTTCTTCCATGGTCAGTGCAAATGGAGGCAGAATATCTGAGTTTTTAGGTGGAGTTAATAGTGCTTATATAGATGAGTGTTGCCAAGTGAAAATCAAAAATTTTAACTATATTCAGAGTTCCAGTTTTCACTTTCGGTACGTACGTACGTACATACCATACATAAATGCATTTGGCGTACGTACAGTAAATGAAACGCGTAATAGAGTCGATCTCGACTATTGAAGCCTGGTATTTGTTGGCACTTTTACAACGTACATATTTGTACACGTATTTATTCATAATTTCGACAGCTGTGCAAATGGACTCCGTAATTTGTTAATTTCAATAGTTTAGAAGGAAAGCATTTTTTTCTGATCAATCAATAATATATAGTTATCAGTCGCAATAACTATATATTATGCAAATTCAATTTCTATTCAATGCAATATACCAAACTAAATTTATTATTTTCCATATACCTGCAGATATGAACTTGGATAGTATCTATTGAATGTTCTCTCTATTGATGAACCTATAGATCCGAAGGGTCCGAAACAAGTTCATTGAGATTACCATAACCATAATTATGTTAAGATATAGTTCCGCATTGTAGGATTTAATTCTCCGATGCTGTTAAATACAGTAGATTAGGTAATTACTTATTACATAAAAGGTTAAATCGCGCTATGCGACAATTTAGCATTTTATTAGTTGTAAGGATATACTATTAGTGAATTGTCGCATAACGTGATTTAATTTTTCCGAAATAAGTAATTACCTTACCCATCTCTACAGTCGATACAATGATATTACTGTATTAAGAATTGAATTCCGTACGTACTGTACGTACGTGCATAAGGACGTACTAAATATAGAAAGAATTTTCCTTTTTAAGAGACTGCATGCGTATGTACACAGTGCAAGTCTAAAACCTTATATAGAGCAAAGGTCATGAAAGATAACCTATATATGTCATTTTTAATACGTAGCGGCTTTATTTTTAGTATGCATAGAACAATTACTAATATGTACATATCATTCTTGGTATATTATTTCTATTTTATCGAGATTGTTAATTCAAGGAATTATCTTCATTTATGCATATCGATATCTTTATACAAAGAGATAGAGATTTTTAAACGTAAATATTAAGAAATCGATTGTTATAATCGTGCGCATAATATCAAATTCTAAAATAGAATCATTGAAGTTACTGATGAAGAAATTAGATCTGTATATCTTTTTGTTTTATGATGACTTTAGATAAGCTGATATCTTTTTATGAAATGCTTTGATACAAGTTACCCTTGTTCGACTTAGGAAAAATTGTTCACGAAAAGCATAGATACGACTGGTCATGTAACTGGATGAAGCCGGGTAGCCAAAAGTGCTGGAAATAAATTCAATTAAAGGACCTGAAGTCCGCGGAATACATTGTGAGTAATTTAGCTAAGTAATTCGAATTGAAACTATGACATGCTCCCAGAAAATTAGCAAGTGAGATTGCGCCAGGTATCATCGTAACAGTAGAACGAGCGAGAAGTAGAATGAGCGAGAAGCAGCATCAGCCGGTGGTTTCCCGCCCGCTCGAAGCAGGTTGGCTGTTAAATAGGAAAATGACAGGAGACTATCATTTGTGGCGGGTCAAGAAACTTGTTTGTCTAAGACTATTGTGTTGAAGGGGGAAGGTGTATCGAAAGTGACTTCTTTTTGTCGGTTCTTTATATATCGATCGCGATCGATGGCTTGTGATTACGTATCTCTGCTTATTAATTTTCTGCTTAGTGATTCATGCGATTTGGCATTAATTGATCTCTTCTTTGATCTCGACCCATGCCCTTTGTTACGATGAATGGGTGCAGGGATTGTAGCACGTGGCGTGTAACCCCTGACCAGTGCTACCCTTTCTTTTCGATCCGTTGACCCTTGTCAACACGCATTAAATCTCGGACGCATGCATTTTTTCTTCACATTAAAGTTTGTTTTTTTTTCACAAAATCACAAGTAGAATTTATTTACATTAATATACATATCGATATTTAGGAAAACGCTATCAGTTAGCACGGCTCCGTTCATTTATAATCATGATTTTTCTATTAAATATTTGTCAAAGTTTGTAAATCATTTGGCATGTAACACTGGTGTGTGCGATCAACTAAGGAAATCAAAACTATATGTAATACTATATAAAAATTAAATATTGATTTTTTTTTTGAATTTAGTGATCAGAATAGTGATTAAGGCAGTGAGCAGATTCTTTATCACTTTATATACAGTATATATTTTAATAGTAAAGAATGAATTGCGTATTTTTAGATGTCTAGAGTGGATCGCTTTACTTTTTTTGAATAGTATAAGACATGAAAGAGAATTTTTGTAAAGTCAACTTTCAACGTAACTTTGTTATAATAGTGTTTGAAAATAGATTGTGCTAAAATAATTGAAAAAAGTAAACCGATTCGCTCTAGACATCTAAAAGTATGCAATTCATTCTTTACTATTAAAAGATATATATAATGATAAAAATCTGCTCACTCACAGTCTTAATCATCATTCTAATCAATTTTTTTTAAAAAAATTCAATAATATGGTACTACATATAATTTTGATTTACATAGTTGATCGCACACCCCAAAGTAACACCCCACTGGATGGTATACAAAATTTTAAAATATAAAACCACGTAATGTTTGCACTCAAACCTTGTCAAGTTCTGAAAATTCAAATTTATTCATAAATTTGTATATGATTTGTAAACAATGGTGTGGTAATCTTGAAATACAATTTTAGCGACAATTTGTCATGATCAAGTGATCATTTTTATAAAAATCCGAATTTACTGCGGATGATATCAACTTTCGGTATGCTTTTCTCTTGAATTAGTATAATAATTACCGTATTTCATTGCATAAACCACCTCTGTGATAGTAGATCCTATGTGATTTTTTTACTAATTGAATATTCTGGTGAAATGTAACAGACCACGGGTGGTTTATGCAATGAAATGCGGTAATGTCTAATTTTAAGCAAAGAAAATTGTATACTTTAATGTAATAGAGCCATTCTTTCGATTTACGCTATTAATAGTATAAAATAGCGTAAATCAAAAAATTACATTAAAGTATACAATTTGCTCTATCTTTTTAAAAAAAATTAGACTTTAATTATTATACTAGTTCAAGAGAAAATAATACTGAAAGTTGATATTATTTGCAGTAAATTCGATTTTCATAAAAAAAATTTATCATACATTATTCTGATTAATGTTTGATTCTACTAGTATGATGATTACCCCAAAGTTCAATGACTTATTGCCTAAATTTGGAGACCAGCTCTAAATGTTTAAAAGGTATTAGAATTGGGAACGAAATTATTTTCGTTTGATTAAATTATGTTTTCCTATGAGAAGCGATCCACAAATTAACCAATAATAAATCATAATTTGATATAATGTAATACGATCAAGAAAAAAGTCAAAACAAATGTTCTTTTTGTCCAAAATCCTTTTTATTTACAAATTTGTACAAGAAACCAGTCTTTATGCTCTAACAAAAAAAAAATTTTCTTAAGCAATTTCACTATAGAACCCTAATTCTAATTTTAAGCCATTTTGTTGATCATCACATGTCTCGAAAAAAGGCATCTAATTGGTTAATTTATACGTATAGAATTTTATTCAAATAATATTATATAAACAAAAAAAATTTAATTACCCGTAAATAGCAGAGATGCTAAGGCTCCAACCATTGCACAAAGGTTGGCGTTACGATACCCACCGGGAGATTAGTGGTCAGCGTTATGTATCTCGATTTAGAAATGGACGTATAGTTAAGGGGTGGGTGGGTTCAGGCTATCGGACTTTCTAAACCGCTGATGCATAATAAGCAATTCCAAAAGCCCCAACGGGGTCTTTACGGGTACCATTTTATTAATTTTCGATATTCGTAGTTTTATTAATTGGTTCGCGTGATTTATTTATCATTTAATATTAAAAAAAAAAAAAAACCTTACAAATAGGCACATACATTTGTAAAATCAAAGATGCAATAACAAACAATAGTAAAAATAATTTTTTTATGCACAAAAATTAGTGACCCAATGTAAATTTAAAGGCCCCAACGCTAAATATTTGGTAAATTTCATTTTTTTTCATCGGATTTTTTATCGGGCAGATAAAATGATAATCACTGATCGTCAAAGACTTAATCGAAAGAATTTGCCGATCATCTCTAAATACGTAGAGGGCGTTAAACTGTTTCGTAGATTTTAATGTTTTTTGCAAGGCCTCAGAATTTTGGGTCTGATTCATCGGGACTGAGTGACCAACTATATAGCAGTCAGAGGTTGCAAGTACTATCGACTTCTTTTATAAAGAGTCATTTTCTAAAATCAGGAATGGATTGCAATGAAGGATATGGTTTCCCGTGACTGAAATATTCATCGACTTGACTAAGTCGATATTTCAGTATTTAAAAATCGGCTAAGTCAAAGTCAATCATCTTTGACTTTCGAAAATTATCGTATATATTCCTAAAATTTTACGACCTTCTCGTATTTTATGTTCGTTTTTCGGGAAGGATAATATAACCTACAAAATCAGGCTAAATTTGATAATTTAATTGGGTTGCTGTAATTTTTTTAATAAGGTCTAGCATAAAATCGACTAAGCCGATAAAATCAACTACAAGCACTAATCTACATGTAGTGTTGAACATTATAATTGCTATATCGATATCTCAAAAACTGGCAAAATACAAGTAACTCAAAATAAAAACCCTTCGATGTAAGAAACTCTTGATACAAGAAAGATTCCACAAGTCCCAATCGAGAATTTTTATAATAAAAAGCATTCGATATAAGAAAATCTTGACATAAGAAAGATTTTGACTGAACCCGGTAACTTTCTTATATCAAGAGTCACTTGTAATTAGTTGGTCTTAAATAAGAATGCTTAGAACCTCCAAAACCTTATACTAATTTAAATTTTAGCCTCTAATACTAACCCTTACTTTAACCTATAACAGTATTCTAATCTTACTCATTTCCGTCATGAAATGACTACGTAACTTATAAAATTTGACACTGGTCCCAACCCTAATTCGGGATACGATCTACATATCCATGGTGGAAATAACAATCGCTTAAAATTATATATTACAAGATAACAATAAAATTCATTAAAAGGTTATTAAGTCATTAAAAATTACTATGTAAATAGACAACTTAAGAATGTTATAAATATTCTTAGCAAAAATAAAAAAAAATATGCGATTTTAAGATCAAATATTTCTCAGAAGAAAAGTATAGCAACCACTAAAAAACTATTTTATATATTGTAATGACACTAATTTCAAAATTAAGCAAATAATAAGATAAACTGTGATATGATTAAATAAGTTTCATTTTAAAAAAAGAAATAGAAATTATAAATAATTTCTTTAAAAAACCGAGAGATTAAAAACTATTATTCTGGGAAGGAAGCTACTCCACAAGCTTTTATCATGAATGGATCAGGTCCGATTAAAACTCCAACGTCGTATTTTGCTGGAAGCGATGTTAAGTCTGATAAATTATAGAGTTTGTCAAAGTTAAATGTTGTTGTTTGACATTCAGTTTTGGTGCAAATATCTACAAACGGGCCAGTGAATATGTTTTTACCTGCAGTTTCAATTATTAAAGCGAATAAATCTAAATTATCAATATTGGTTTTGGTCGTTGCTGAACCTTTAACTTCGAGATTAGAACCAGATTTTGGAGGATCAGGGCTAAGTGTTACATTACTAATTACCGCTGCATCTGGATGAACCGAACATTGTTCAAACGTAGCAGCCCTTTTATTCAAATGATATGGAAAAGCATTGACCATGGAAAAGCATTGACCATGGAAAAGCATAGACCATGGAAAGTGTGGCCAAAAAAACGAATAACAAAGCAAGTTTTCGGATCATGATTATTATTTTTTTTTCAAAAAAGTTTGTTCTACAAGAATTGTGTAATTATTAGATTATTTTTAATTTTTTAGTTTTTAGTTTTTTTTTTTTGTTTTTGCTTCTGAATAAAGTGAAATCATTGTCTTTCATAAAAAAAAAACCCAGTCACCCGATTTTTAATAAATTTGCTCTTTAAAATTATTAGTTTGAAAATTGATAAAAATATTCAAAAGTTTTGAAAAGCTTTGTATGAAAAAAAAGGAGTCTACATGATTTTTCCGACACCTAAATCGGTTGTCAGTTAAAAAGATCTTACAAAAAAAAAGGAATATAATAATATAATTCCAATTTACCAGATTTAATTGAGCGCCATCCAAATGAAATCTCAATGCAAATTAACACATAATTTTTCTAAAGGTAAACATTAATAAACAAACTTTATGAAATTTGATATTCATTAAAATCTCATGATCGAGCGAAATAGCGAAAGCAGATACTGATAATGTCGGATTCAGCTAACAATAAGAAAATATTACCATTTCATTTTTTAATCTTAATAAATTTTTTTTTTTTTTACTATTTAGGAATGTACGTACGTACAAATAACTTTTACCAGGAACGGAGTCACGGGTTAAAAGTGACTTCCCGAAATCGGCGTAGTAAATCCCGTGATTATAGGACTCGAGAATCGAGAAGCTGCGCCAAACGATCAAGGGTAATCGTAAATGAGGCTTGGACGATGTTGTCATAGCAAAATGAGGCTTAACCATCATTGATAGTGGTGGCATGAGTACACGAACACGAGATAAAAGACTTTCTTATTATACGCGACTATGTATTAGAGAAACATACGGTCCTTATGCTGAAATAATCTCTTAATTTATTAAGCATAAAATTAGTTATTAGTAAACCTCCTTGATTTATATAATTGTAATTTTACTATAAAAAGAGTAAAAGAAAATAGAAAAAAGGGCGGCTATTATTCGAAGAATAAGAATAAAAATCCAAATCCTTCCATTATCATTGTCACGCCTCTGGCAAGTTGTCTTAATTTCCAATTTACTGATATAAATATCTAACGGTCATTTAAACCCCGTAACAGTGCAAATGTAGGCTTCTGATTGGATATGGTTCTATATTTTGTTTATTTGACATGTGTTATATATGCAGGCTAGTGATCAAAATCTTAGTTGAAAAACCAACTAATCGACTAAGTCATCAACTAGTTAAATTCTGAGATAGAGTTCCTATCCATTATCCGTTTATCCATTGATCTGTTGGATATTCTCCGTTTTGCAATTGATATCCGGATAATTATCTGAATACCAATAGTAAATGGATATTCGGACAAATTAAGATATGAGTGCGTGAGAGTGAAAATCAGGAAATACATTTAATGATTTATTATGATTGGTTACGGATTTTCACTCTCATGTCCTCATATGAATAAATGGATGACGGATTTATCCGGATTGGAACTCTATTCTGAGATATTCGGTCTATTCAGGCTGGTTCGTGTTGATTTTTTTTAGTTTGATTGGCCAACCAATAAATTTAGTCCCATGATAGAGTTGCAACTATAGTTGACAACTAATCAATTGGAAAATTTTTCACCAACTCGGAACACTAATGCAGACTTGCGATGATTTTATTTGGTTATGTAATTAGAAATTGTGTATGTGATTTTTCGTCTATATGCAACTTGATTTTCTTAATTTGCATATGGGACTTCTCTACGTATCTATGTGTAGCATATCTTGACTTTCTCTAATTTGTACAAGTACAGTATGAATGCTAACTTTACAAAATAATTCTTATGCATTCAAATGATTATTTTATACTGTAGCCATTTTTGTAATTGTAATTCAGAGTATTGTAATCTGAGTCCTTGAAAGTTATGATTAGATTTAAATAACGTTAGCAATATTGATAAAATGTTACATATAGTTTGAATAAATTCTCGAATATATCACTATACTTGAATTTGCAACGTTACTATTTCAAAGAACTGACCAATCATATTTTATAAAAAGATACATTTGCGCAAACGGCTATCCATATAATAAAACAAGTATTAGTGGGGCGCCGCATATCTAATAATAAGCTTATAAATTTTAAAAATTTCAATTCCCCTTACCATGTTAACGAATCGCTTGTTTTCTGAAATTTCTTTGATCTCGTTCTAAGAACTACTGAACTTTGAGAAACTACTTCATTATCTTTATACTGAAGTTCCAATAACAGCAGAATGGTTTCTAAAAAGGTAGATGGTTCAGAAAACAAAAAAATATTTAGATGCTTGAAATTTATGAAAACAACTGTAACGGTAATGTCACAACTCTAACGATTCGGTAATTATGTCGTAATTTTTTTTAAATAAATTTTTTAAAAACTTCAAATAACAATAACTTAACAACAACTTTGATCATCACAATTACGTATACTTAACGTTAGTTGATTTCGTTATGGTCAAAAATGTTAATTTATTTCACATGATTGAAATGATTGGTGAAAATGTAGGAGACACTCGTGACGGACGTTATAAGAGTGAAACACTACAGATGCATTTTATATTAGAAATTACATATCTTATAAATCAATAAATAGCATAATACTGTATTTAATAACAACAATAATAAATAATATCGCATAGATTTTAAATAAATACCTTTAAATGCATTTGATATTATATATGTGTTAATAATTTTTCTAGTGTACGCAAAATTTGGATGTTTTGATATAATACTTGGCAATTTTTGACTGTTTTATCTGTTTCTAAGAATTGCTTTTCAATTCATTTGCATCATCCGAATCTTAATCCATTCATAAGGTTTACAATGGACATCCCAAGTAATAGTTCGTTTTTGTAAATCAGAATTCATCAATTTCTTATTAGGGAGCTGACATTTAAGGCACCCTGAGGATTGTCAATTGACTATTCCCAACACCATCAGGTTAGTTATTTGACAATTCTCAGGAGGCTCTTAAATGTCAGCTCCCTTATTAATGAATTTACTATTGACAATTGGGCATCGTACAACAATGACATTTCGAGGGTGGTTGATATGTTTTGATGAATTCTATCTCTATCGCTATGGTTACATGAATTCCGGAAACCTTTGTATGTAGTTACTAAATAAAGAATTTATGGCTGGAATGATTTTCACTTTTTTAGTTATTCATTTAATAAAAAGAATTTTTCATAACTACAATCGTAACCGTATTTTACGGAATAAAGTACCCCTCGTGCCAAATATTGTAAATCTTCTTTTTGAATGCTTGTTGTATACTAATGTGACGTGTATTAATTGTGATATTTAATTTTTTATGTGTAAAAAAAATTTGCATCACGTACAGTACGTACGTAGGTGCTTTATTCCGCAAAATATGAGCAGATTATAATTTTCATAACAATATAACCTATATATTTTGTCAAATTTATTCCCGATAGTTACGCAAAACATTTCTACTGAAAATATATATAGTATTTGTGTTCAAGATATTGCCTACCAAATGGAATGTTTATAGCTGGTGGTTGCTATCAATACGGAATTAGTATAGAAAAGGATGAATATAATGCATTCATTTATTATCAAAAATCTGCTGATATGGACAATGCTAATGCTGTAATGGAATGTTTGCATTTAGTGAATTTTATCGGAGTTGAAAAGGACGAACATAAGGCATTCATTTATTATCAAAAATCAGCAGAGATAGGGGATTCTGATGGAATATTTGCACTTGGTAACTGTTATAAAGATGGAATTGGAATTGAAAAGGATAAACGTCAGGCATTCATTTATTATCAAAAATCAGCAGATATGGGACATTCTAATGGAATATTTGCACTTGGCAACTGTTATTTTGATGGAATTGGAGTTGAAAAGGATGAACGTCAGGCATTCATTTATTATCAAAAATCAGCAGAGATTGGTAATGCTGATGCAATAAATAACGTTGGATATTGTTATCAACATGGAATTGGAGTCGAAAAGGATGAACGTCAGGCATTCATTTATTATCAAAAATCAGCAGAGATGGGTAATGTTTTGGCAATAAATAATGTTGGTTATAATTATCGACATGGAATTGGAGTAACGAGAGACTTAAAAAAAGCTAATGAATGGTACCAGATGTAAGTTATTTTTACTG